CTATGTAGCCCTCAGTAGAGTGCGGTGGTGTTACAGCTCACAGCAACCTCCAACTCTTGGGCTTAAGCAATTCTCTTGCCTCAGCTTCCCAAGTTGCTGGGACTACAGGCTCCTGCCGTAAAGCCCAGCTATTTTTCGTTACAGTTATCATTGTTGTTTAGCTGGTCTAGTCCGGTTTTGAACCCACCAGCCTTGGTGTACGTGGCTGGCGCCATAACTACTATGCTATGGGTGCTGAGCCAGTAACCCATGTTTTCTGTGAATGTCATTTAGCACTCAATTTTGAACTTTTCTAATTTTTTCTTATTTCTTTATTATTTTATTGATTTCTGTGTCTTAGTTATTATTTGCTAACATCATACTCATATATTTTCTAGATTCTGGACCTGACAGTTTTTGATTTTCTATATCTTTTGCCCACAAATTTTATTTAGTTTTATATTCTATTTAAAGTGGAAAATATTTAAAAGAGGAGTTTTTATTTTGTACTGATTACATTTCTTCTCTGTTTCTTGTTCTGTGTCTTATATCTTTTTCTTTTAGATTACTGCTTTTTGAGTCTACATAATCCTTAAGTCAGTTGGTATCATTCTATGACACATGACAATAGGTCTAATTTTTTGAACACTTAACTCTATGCCTAGTACTTTATATTGTAATACCCCTAGACCTGAAAATATAGAGTTGGACCCCCCTTAAGTGCAATTAATCAGAAATTTATTGAATCTGCGCAGGGGATGTCCTGAGAGACAGTTCCATCCCAGTAATGGGCGAGTTGCCTCATATAATTTTGGTGCAAGCATACTACAGAAGCGAAATGTGGCTGGTTAAGGGGGGGTTATAGCTCGGGTTGTCATGGATACAGCAATGGTTGCAATTATGTAACAATGATTAATATAGCCTTGGTTGACAATGGATGTATCTTAAATCTCAATGGTTATAGTTATGTAACCATGATTAATACAGCCTTGGTGGATTTCCACCATTGTTCATCCACTGAGAACTTGGTTTCATCCACTGAGAACTTGGGTTTTTTGTAAAACTTGGGATTTTTCTTTCTTGTTCTGAAGCTTGTTCTTGGAATCCCCTCTGAGGGGAGAAGGAGGAGGCAGGCGGCCTGGGAACATGCCCAGAGTAGGGAGCAGGCTGGGCTGTTCCCAGAGTCGACTCTGGGGGCAGGGGAGAGGAGGGAGGCCAGCTCACTTCATTTTCCACTGGTCTTTTCAGGAAATCAAATCCTTGATTTGCTGAAGAAAGAGGTCTTACTCCTGGGGGATTTAGGGCAGAAGTGGAATCTGGGCTAGAGGTTTGGTATGTGGTCTCTCCTTGGGTTTTAGTACTGTGGTCATGGGCTAATTTTTATTTTTCCCTGTGATATTCCCCCCCCCCCTTTTAAAGTCCAAAGTTTAATTAAGATAAGTTCCTTGAGGAGTTTCTTCAGGCTTCAGCCCTGTGTTGATTAGTCACCTCCCAGTATGTGGCTGGAGTAGGGTATGTTGACTATTTTAAAAGTTAAGGGGTAGTGAAGTTTTATTTAGCTAACTGTGATGATTTCAGGTGAGGATTTTTTTTATCTTTATTGCTGTGTATGTGGTCAGGAATATGGTGTAAAGTTTTTTTTACCTTGGTTTCAGGGGGACTAGTTTCTGATTTTAAATTTAGACTTGGTTCCCTTGATTCTCTAGAGAGAAAGTTTTTGGATGTACAGGCACAAAAGATTAAACAAATATGGTTAGTTACTCCAGTGAAGATTTTTTTCTTGCTACTTTTTAGGGTTTTTATCTCTTTAGTTCAGTTTCTTTCCAGTTTTTTTAGGCATTTGCTACATTGTAGAGAATTGATAGAGGTTTTTTTTGAACAGCACTAGTGGCTGAGAACTGAGAACTGTATGCAATTAAGTTTTGCTTTCTGGCAGAGTTTATTAATTTTTCTTCTTATGGCTTTGTTTATGCACATTATTCTGTAATATCAAATACTGCACAAATTTTTCACAGGTGATCTTTGTTGAGTTTTAAGGCTTTAGAGTAAATACAACTATTGTATATAATTTTTACTTTTTGGCCAGTCTCTTAGTTTCATTTAACAGATTAATTTAGTAAAATAGTTATGTTTCATTTTATGAGTTGACAGTATAGATAAGGCTGGGATTTAATACAGGTGGGCTACACAGTTTTTTATTTTTATTTATTTATTTTTTATTTGTGTCCTTTAAGACTGTCCACCTACTGTCTTCATCACCTCATTCTTTTCTTTGTATCTTGCTGTGTAACACTTTTTTCTGCTTCCAAATACACTTGAGTATTTAAACTTTGCGTAATTATTGCTGCTAAATATTTGTGTTTAAGAGTTTTCCAAGAACTAAAGTGCAATAGATAATGTAATACCATTAAGTACCTTTGTTCTGATTAGCAGAGTCATCAAATAACATGTGTTAGTTATAGGTCAATTTCTTAGCTAGAAATTATTATATGTGTTGGAACAGTTATCTTGTAATTTTGATGGGGGCAGGGAAGGAAGTTAAATTCAAACTTTACATTGTATAGTTTCAAATCAAGTAAAGATTAAAATATTTTACCAAACAAGTGAGGGGGCTCAGTGCCTCAAGCTGCTAAGGTGCCAGCCACATACACCTGAATCCAGCCCAGGCCCACCAAACAATGACGGCTGCAACCAAAAAATAGCTGGGCATTGTGGCAGGTGCCTGTAGTCCCAGCTACTTGGGAGGTGGAGGCAAGAGAATCGCTTGAGCCCAGGAGTT